ACTGATGCTGAAGCTGAAACTCCAATACTTTGGCCACCTCATGTGAAGAGTTGACTCATTGGAAAAGACCCTGATGCTGGGAGGGGTTGGGGGCAGGAGGAGAAGGGGACGACAGAGGATGACATGGCTGGATGGCATCACTGACTCGATGGGCATGAGTTTGAGTAAACTCCAGCAGTTGGTGATGGACAGGGGAGGCCTGGCCTGCTGCGATTCATTTAGTTGCAAAGAGTCAGACACGAGTGAGGGACAGAACTGAACTGAACTGAATAATATCTTAGTGTGTGTTTGTGTGTGTGTGTATACACACATATGTGTGTATATATATATACATTTTCAGACATATTTTACACATATCTTTATTTATATATGCATGTCATTTAAATACTGTTATTTGAATCTGTCATTCAGAATGTTTATGAATTTGGAACCACCATTGAAAATTTTATTCCAAATATAGAGAATAAGCTAGTTTTTTCTATATTTAAGCTGGAAGAGACTATTTGAAAAATAGTTCAAGCTAATTAGCAGTGACATAAAAATTAGAGGACAAAATCACCCATGGACCATGGTGGTTACTGTAGTACCTCTGAGGGTCCAGAGACAAACAAAATATTTAACTGGAATTGTTGTTTTGTTTTTGTTAGATTGTTTTAAAATCTCAGATCCTTTTAACACAGGGTAACTTATACAGTTGCCATCACCTTTTGAAGGTGAGAGATGATCAGTGTTTTATTCCCAGATAGCTTCATATCTTCCACTTGATTTGCCATACCAGATAATGGGGGTGGAGGGATCAATTCATTGTTCTAAGATTCAGAAAACTTCTCAGAATGCACCATGCTCAGGTGTAATATATAAAAGACATAGCAAAGGTTATGTCTATTGGTTTACTCTCTTCTTTAATGAAATATAAAATATATTTTTATTATCAAAAATAATATAAATTACTGAAATATAAACTATATTTTATAGCTTAAAGAGTCTCTAATTATATATAAAAATGAGTAATTTTTTAGCTGTAGAAAGAATGAAATAAAGCCATTTCAGCAATAAGAATGGACCTAGAGATTATCATATTATGTCAGACATATGATGTGATATTGTCAAATATTATATGATATCACTTATGTGTGGAATCTAAAATAATGATACAAGTGAACTTGCTTACAAAGAAAATTAGACTGACAGACACAGAAAACAAGTTTATGGTTATAAAAGTGGATAGCACAGGCAGGAGGCTAAATTAGGAGTTTCAGATGGATAGATACACACTAGTCTAAATAAAATAGATCAACAGGGACTTCCTTGATGGTCCAGTGGCTAAAAATCTGTGCTTCCAATGCAGAGGGCATGGGTTCAACCCTTGGTCCAGAAAGCTAAGATCCTGCAAGGCTGTGTAGTATAGCCAAAATGAAAACAAAAAAGGCAAGTTCCAGAATGATATATGTAGTATGATATCATTTATTAAAAAAAAAAAAAGAAAGGACCTACTGTATAGTGCATGGAACTATATTCAGTATCTTGCTATAACAAATAATGGAAAATAATTTGAAAATAAATATCTATATTCAGATATCTATGCACATATATCCAATCTCTTTATTGTATACCTGAAACTAACACAATACTGTAAATTAACTATGTGTCAATTTTTTAAAATTTATTTAAGTGGAGGTTAATTACTTTATAGTATTGCTGTGGCTTTTGACATACATTGACATGAATCAGCCACAGGTATACATGTGTCCCTCTGCCCTGAACTCCCCTACCGGCTTCCTCCCCATCTCATTCCTCTGGATTGTCCCAGTGCACCAGCTTTAAGTTCCTTGTTTCATGCATCACACTTGTACTGATGATCTATTTCACATATAGTAATATACATATTTCAATGCTATTGAAATCATCTGACCCTTGCCTTCTCCCACACAGCCCAAAAGTCTGTGCTTTATATCTGTGTCTCTTTGGCTCTCTTGCATGTAGAGTCATCATTACCATCTTTCTAAATTACACACACACACACACACACACACATATATATATATGTTAATATACTCTATTGGCATTTTTCTTTCTGATTTATTTCACTCTGTGTAATAGGCTCCAGTTTCATCCACCTCATTAGGACTGACTAAAATGTGTTCTTTTTAATAGCTGCGTAGTATTCCCATTGCGTATATGTATCACAGCTTTCTTATCCATTTGTCTGCCAGTGGACTTCTAGGTTGCTTCCATGTCTTGGCTATTGTAAACTGTGCTGCAGTGAACATTGGGGTACATGTGTCTCTTTCAGTTCTGGTTTTCTCAGTGTGTATGCCCAGCAGTGGGATTGCTCAGTCATATGGCACTTCTTTTTCTAGTTTTTTAAGGAATCCTCACACTGTTCTCCATAGCGGCTGTACTAGTTTGCATTCCCACCAACAGTGTAAGAGGGTTCCCTTTTCTCCACACCCTCTCCAGCATTTATTGCTTGTAGACTTTTGGATAGCAGCCATCCTGACTGGCGTGTAATGGTACCTCATTGTGGTTTTGATTTGCATTTCTCTGATAATGAGTGATGTTGAGCATCTTTTCATGTGTTTGTTAGCCATCTGTATGTCTTCCTTGGAGAAATGTCTGTTTAGTTCTTTGGCCCATTTTTTGATTGGGTCATTTATTTTTCTGGAGTTGAGCTGGAGGAGTTGCTTGTATATTTTTGAGATTAATCCTTTGTCTGTTGCTTCGTTTGCTATTATTTTCTCCCAATCTGAGGGCTGTCTTTTCACCTTGCTTATAGTTTCCTTTGTTGTGCAAAAGCTTTTAAGTTTCATTAGGTCCCATTTGTTTATTTTTGCTTTTATTTCTAAAATTCTGGGATGTGGGTCATAGAGGATCCTGCTGTGATTTATGTCGGAGAGTGTTTTGCCTATGTTCTCCTCTAGGAGTTTTATAGTTTCTGGTCTTACATTTAGATCTTTAATCCATTTTGAGTTTATTTTTGTGTATGGTGTTAGAAAGTGTTCTAGTTTCATTCTTTTACAAGTGGTTGACCAGTTTTCCCAGCACCACTTGTTAAAGAGATTGTCTTTTCTCCATTGTATATTCTTGCCTCCTTTGTCAAAGATAAGGTGTCCATAGGTGCGTGGATTTATCTCTGGGCTTTCTATTTTGTTCCATTGCTCTATATTTCTGTCTTTGTACCAGTACCATACTATCTTGATGACTGTAGCTCTGTAGTATAGTCTGAAATCAGCCAGGTTGATTCCTCCAGTTCCACTCTTCTTTCTCAAGATTGCTTTGGCTATTCAAGGTTTTTTTGTGTTTCCATACATATTGTGAAATTATCTGTCTTGTTCTGTGAAAAATACCATTGGTAGCTTGACAGGGATTGCATTGAATCTATAGATTGCTTCGCGTAGTATACTCATTTTCACTATTTTCATTCTTCCGATCTATTAACATGGTTTATTTCTCCATCTATTTGTTCCGTCTTTGATTTTTTTCATCAGTGTTTTATAGTTTTCTATGTATGGGTCTTTTGTTTCTCTAGGTAAATTTATTCCTAAGTATTTTTTTCTTTTTGTTGCAGTGGTGAATGGGATTGTTTCTTTAATTTCTATTTCTGTCTTCTCATTAGTGTATAGGAATGCAAGAGATTCATTACCTTGTTATAACATATAATTATAAAATCAGAAAATAAATATCTATATTCACATATCTATGCATATATATATATACTCACTTTATTGTATACCTGAAACTAACACAATGTTGTAATTAGCTACATATCAATTTTTTTAATTGTTTTAAAAAATGAGTAATTTGTCAACTAATGCATTCTTTTGGGAAATAGATGTAAAATTAAAACTGCTAATTAGTTAATAATTAAATAACAATCTTAAATGTAAGATATGATTCATTTTAGTGGTCTAAGTTATTGTTCTCTTTTTCTCTCTTCTCACAGAAACCAGTACTCACAATAAACCCTACCTAGACTTACAATGAAATAAAAGTATCAAAACATCTGAGTTTGAAATGTTCAAACCAGGAGGTTAGTAAGTTACTACCATTTTGGCTCCTCTTTCTTCTCTACTGGCGTTATTTTAAGTACAACTCTGGGGGGTGGGGGAAAGACTTTGAATTTGTTATTTAGTGACTTAGTTCAGATCTTTATCTATTTGCATAAGAAAATTGAGGCAAAGAATGACTAAAACTCCCTTAGCCATAGATAATAGAACTTTAGAAGAACTGCACTCGGTTATTAAAAGATTGATTGCAATCATTTTCTTAAAACTTTCTGCAGTAAAAGTCTGAAGAGAAAATGATGTACTAGTAGTAATAACAGTGTTGAACAATAGAGTGTAGATTTGTGCTTTTTAATACATTGAATATGCTTTTAGCCTTCCTCTTGAAGTCAGATCAATTTAAATTTTGTAATGGATGGAGTATAATTATTAAAAATTTCCTTCTTATCCTCTGCCTTTTAGTATGAATACACATAATGGTTTAAAATTATATTTATTCAATGGAATTTCATTGGAAACAAGGCAGCAATAAAACAATTGATTTAAATTATTAACATGCTTCAGTGTGAAAAAAATTAATCTGAAGAAGTGCTGGAGAAACAGTATTGAATATGTACTCCTTCTAATGTAAGCTAACTAATTACCCTATTTGAACCTGTTTACAGAGAGTTGTTTTGATAGTCTAAAAATCTATAGTAAAAACATTTATCAAAATGGCACTAACAAATCTTATTAAATCATTGATTGAATAAGTGTTATCTTTGCTTTTTTAAAGATGTATTTTACATCAAGAGTATATTTTATAATTCACTCTTTGTTAAATGATTAAATATAAATGTATTATGAAGTAATGTATATAAGCAGGACCTTCTGGGGGCTTCTGGAGACAGACCCGGCCCCATATCCTCTGCTTTAGAATCTCTCTGGAGTACCTAGATAATGGCATTTGATACATACTTCCAGAGTTGTGTTACAGAGGTTAAGACTATCACCAGAGAGAAGAAATTAACTAATTGATGATCACAAGCCCCCAGACCTAGTGGCACCGCCTAAGGATTGATACTGTTAACACCTGTGACACCACCCTGTCGCCTTACCATCAACCAATCAGAGAGCTGTGTATGAGCGGATCATGTGCTCTGGGACTTCCCTCCCCTACCTGGCCTTTATAAATGCTTTGCTGACCTGCTTAGGGAAGTTGTTTTTTTTCCTGTGCTAGCTGCCTTGCACTTCTTGCTTGGTGCCACAAAATAGACCTGCACTCTCCTTCACTGAGACCCAGTGTCATTAGAGTGACTTTGCTGTGCATAGGTTTGGTCTGGTAACAGTTTGCCATTATTCTAAAAACACTGTTTAAGACTTTATTTATTTATTTTTTTCAACAAGGTGTAAGGTGGGTCAGGCCCTTAGTAATGTACTTAAGGGAAGTGCCTAATCTTCTCTAGGAAAATAAAGACCTGTTTGAAAATGGCTTTAATGAAAGGGAGAGTATGAGAAATGCCTTACAGGAAGTGTGAATGATACCCACACAGACTCGAAGGTGGAAAGATTATAGCAGACTTTGGGATCATGGAGAGTATCATGAAGAAAGATTTCTTTTCTTTCTTTTTCTTTTTCAGAAACTGAGAGGTGAATGTAGAAGCAGGAGACTTTCATTATAGCTGTGTCTGGTTATCTAAGGTAAGATAGAGGCTAAAATTAATTTCATTAGCCCAATGTAACCAAACCAAATCTGACTGCTTGTTGCTCAAAAGCCAATAGAGAGATCAGGTTGGTAGCAAAGAAAGGTTTCTTTATTTTGAATGCTGCCAACCAGCGCAGGAAGGAGGATGCCCATCCAAAGCCTGACTCTTCCACCCTCCACCCTGGACAGTCAGTGGGCAAGAGTGTTTATAGACAGACAGAGAGAGCTACATGCAGAAAGAGTGCAGGCAGCTCTGATAGCCATCTTGAAATTGGTCATTGATAATCTGACTGGCATCATCTTCATTGTTTTAGGTACAGTTAATCCTCAGTTCCAGGCCTGGTTTGTTCCCATTTTTCTGAGGCCAATTCCTATAACTGTGGCAGCTTAGGTCATGGCTACAGTCTGGTCATTATGTAGTTAACTCATTCCACCTGGTGGGGGTTTTAGTATTTAGAAGACAGCTCACAGGATATGGCTCAGAATATTATCTGTAGTCCTTGAGAAGGAACTAAATGCCCTTTGCTTAATGACTAAGCTATTATTATTTGATTATTATTATTATTTGACTATTTTCCTTTGTTTCTACATGTTTTCATTTCTCTGATTAAACTTAGTCTTTGGCTAAAATTTTTCCACAGACAGAAGACAGATAGAGGGCATGGGGGGCAAGGACCACAGGGTCCTGCTCCATTTCATTAATATCTGTTTTTCTCTCCTTGTTTATGGAAAAGTGAACCACAGAGGACTGGAAAGAATTGAAAAGATAGCAGAGTCTAATCACTTTTTTAATCTGGTTGAATAACTGCAGTTTCAAAATGTTCAACCAACTTTCCCAAGGTTGTGTAACTGATTAATGTCTGAGCTGATCTAGAAGGTAACATTGATTGAGCATCATGTCTTTAGGAATTGTAGAAATTATACATGAACTTAACACCATCAATTTTTTGCATGTTCTCTGCCTGAAATCCTCTTTGCCTTAAAATCTCTCTGTATTGGCTTTGATACTTACCCAGGGAATGCTTCCTAACCTTGCCCTGCTCAAAGTCTTCTAGGTATATGGGTACATCTAAGTGCATCAGTTTACTCACCATTCTGAACCTGTTTGATTGTTATCTTTCTCCTAACCTTCTTAATGAATAACTCTTTTATTTGTAGTCACCTCAAAACTCAAAAGAATATTGAATATGCAATAAGGAGTCAATCAATTCTTAATGCATTTATAATTGCAAAATTAGATGCTGATTTATGTTGTTTTTTTCATTATCTCTAGTGTACATGTTTTATCTCATAAACCATTATTTGCAATCTAAAATGGACTACAGTCTCATATAGACCAACCAGTGCTGTATACATGCAAAGCAGACCTATCAATTAACTAGTATAATATTTTTATTTGTAAAGGTAAATATAAGAATAAACTTTGTGAATCATATTTAATGTTTACTATATTCTTTAAATTTTATATGCCTTATTTATAGGATGATAGTATATCATTTTAAGAAATTTTTGTTGGGGTATAGTCAATTTACAATGTGTTAGTTTCTGTAGTACAGCGAAGTGAATCAGTCATACCTATACATATATACACACTTTTTTAGATTCATTTTTCCATGTAGATTTCAGTCAGCAATGGTTCTGCCTATATCCCCTGGAGAAGGAAATGGCAACCCACTCCAGTATCCTTGCTTAGAAAATCCTGTGGACAGAGGAGCCTGGTGGGCTGCAGTCCATGGGGTCGCAAAGAGTCAGGCACGACTGAATGACTAATACTTCACACTTCCATGTAGATTATTACAGAGTATTGAGTAAACTTCCCTGTACAATACAGTAGGTCCTTATTATGTATCTTATATTTAGTAGTGTGTATATGTCAACTCCAGTCTTTCAAGTTATCCCTCTCCCCCTTTCCCCTCTAGTAACCATGTTGGTTTTCTACATATGTGGCTCTATTTCTGTTTTGTAAATAAGTTCATTTGTACCATTGATGGTATAATATCTTGTATATGATCTAAGAAGGGCAAAAATAGCTTCATGTCCTGAAAATTAGATGAGTCTCAGGGTACGGGGGAATAATCTGTTTGGGGTCAATACAGCCTGTTGGAAGGTAAGACACCAGAGAGTAGAACTCTTGCTAGTGGTTATTTTGTTTATTTGGAGGTAATGCAATAGAGGTGAAGGCTGGTCAGCAGGTTAAAAACTCAAACAACCAGTTGTTTTTTAGTTGCTAAGTTGTGTCTGACTCTTGCAACCCCTTGGACTGTAGCCTGCCAGTCTCCTCTTTTCATGGAATTTCCCAAACAAGTCTACTGGAGTGGATTGTCTTTTACCTCTCCAGGGGATCTTCCTGACCCAGGGATTGAATCTGTGTCCCATGCACTAGAAGGTGGATTCTTCACCACTAAGCCATCAGGGAAGGCCCAAGCAACCAGTAGGAATAACTTCATTTCAGTCATTCAGTTGTGTCTGACTCTTTGTGAGTCAATGGACTACAGCATGCCAGGCCTTCCTGTCCATTGCCAACTCCTGGAGCTTATTCAAACTCATGTCTATAGAGTCAGTGATGCCATCCAACCATCTCATCCTCTGTCATCACCTTCTACTCCCACCTTCAATCTTTCCCAGCATCAGGGTCTTTTCAAATGAATCAGTTCTTCACTTCAGGTGGCCAAAGTACTGGAATTTCAGCTTCAGCATCAATCCTTCCAGTGAATATTCAGGACTGACTTCCTTTAGGATGGACTGGCTGGATCTCTTTGCAGTCCAAGGGTCTCTCTCAAAGAGTCTTCTCCAACACCACAGTTCAAAGGCATCAATTCTTTAGCGCTCAGGTTTCTTTATGGTCCAACTCTCACATCCATACATAACTACTGGAAAAATCATAGCTTTGACTAGACAGACCTTTGTCACATTTTATTGGTAGGAATGGAGCCATACAACTAAAGAAGCAGCAACAGGAAGAGCACTAAGAGCCCAGAAAACTCTAGTACAAATTAGGTTTTCCTGACACAGACCCAATGACTAGATGCACTTAGGGGAAGGGCATTTTTCACCAAATGAAAGTGTACATTCAGAACAGCATTATGGGCAAGGATGTTTGACTTCTGGGTCTTCTGAGTACTAAGGTCAGATCAGAGAATCTTCGTGTCCTTGACATCCTTACCTTTGGACAATTATTCTCAGATATTTGGGAAAAACAAGGTCTAAACATTTAGATAGGTGCTTCCCTATTGCTAAGATGGTAAAGAGTCTACCTGCAAAACAGGAGACCCAGGTTTGATCCCTGGGTCAGGAAGATCTCCTGGAGAAGTAAATGGCAACCCACTCCAGTATTTTTGCCTGGACAATCCCATAGACAGAGAAGCCTCACAGGCTACAGTCCACTGAGTCCAAAGAGTCAGATAAGACTGAGCGACTTCACTAAGTGATCAGAAATTAGAGGAACATGGAGATATGCAGGGGGGAAGAAATTTTTCTCTTCCCTTATTGTAATAACAGTTTGAGGAGTTTAATTTCTCATACTTTTCTTTGTCTATAAATGTCCCTAATAAATGCCTATTAATGGGGACAAATCAGAAGATTGGTTGGCATGGGTGAAAATGCATATGGTAATGCTTTCTGAAAAAATAACTATTTATATTCCATTTGACTTTAACCAGCATGGACTAAAATTATATTTTAACGTTCCACTAGTTTTATTGTAATAGCTGCATCCATCTAAAGGAATCATCTATTTGTAAAACAATATGAAGTAGAAATGTGGGCTTGGGCACAAAGTGATTTTTGTTTTTTCCAAATATGTCCATAGTAATGATGAATAAGTCTCCATGGGGATAGGTTTTTGGTCTCTTTGAAGTAATTTTGTATTTTATGACTTATTTGTCCCTTTCATCTTAAAGGGGAGGTATTATACTATCACTGCTGAAAATTCTACTAGATTTTGCAAACAATGCCTTTGAACTTGCTGATCATTCTTATATCCAGTTCAGTTCAGTTCAGTCTCTCAGTCATGTCCGACTCTTTGCGACCCCATGAATTGCAGCATGCCAGGCCTCCCTGTCCATCAACAACTCCCAGAGTTTACTCAAACTCATGTCCATCGAGTTGGTGATGCCATCCAACCATCTCACCCTCTGTCATCCCCTTCTCCTCCTGCCTCCAGTCCCTCCCAGCATCAGGGTCTTTTCCAATGTGTCAACTCTTCGCATGAGGTGGCCAAAGTATTGGAGTTTCAGCTTCAACATCAGTCCTTCCAATGAACACCCAGGACTGATCTCCTTTAGGATGGACTGGTTGGATCTCCTTGCAGTCCAAGGGACTCTCAAGAGTCTTCTCCAACACCACAGTTCAAAAGCATCAATTCTTTGGCGATTCTTGTATTAGCAGGTTCTAAATCAGTTGTATGATTTGCTCACTTATATCCTTCCAGGCTTGGCCTGAATGTCACCTTTGTTGTGAGACTTTCCTTGGGCCACTCAACTTAAAATTATAGCCCTCCCTGGTGACTTTGTTCCCACATTATGTTCCTCTTAAAACCCTCATCATTATGTATAATACACAGCATTTAACTTATACATTGGAAGATAAACTGAACTTTTATGACTGTTTCCAAAATACAGTTGTGGAAATGTGCCCTTTCTGCTCACAATGTACTTCTGAGCTGTATCTTTAGTTGATGGATGCGGGAGCTGGCTAGTGTTGGCTTGAAAAACTCATTGATTCATTTTCACATCAGTAGCCTGAAGTCAGCCACAGCTTATTTACAACATGGTAATGGCAAAACACTCCAAACCAGGACTTTATTTTTTTTTATAAACTGACTATATTTCTTATGTATCTCATTTTCCATTTGACTATTCTGCTTTTTATAAACTTGCTAAGTTCAATGAGCCACTGCTTTATACATGGAATTGTTTCCTTTCTTTCATCTCTCTCTTGCTCTCCTTCTCTCATTTGGCATCATACTCAATGTCACCTTGTATATACTCCTAGAAAC